TGCCTTGTAGGTGTTCTCTTTCAGCTGTGCATAACTCTGGTGGATCAATAGAAAATAGGTTAAGGTAAATATCCCCGTTGATTGATTTAAATGAACACTGTGGTTTTAATGACAAGAACTATGCTCAAATAAAAGGACTCATTTATCAACTCATTAAACTGTCTTTGGGAATAAAAAAACTGATTTCTAAACATTACCACCTGTTTTTATGTTAGATCTACAGGGCTAGAATTTAAAACGTATTTATTACGCATATTCATTCTTTTCTGTTGTTCTACAAATTTTACATCTTCCCTTTTCTTTTTAAAACACAGAACCGAATGTATTTTATCTAGATTTCAGATGAAACACCTTCAACTGGCCACAAAGACAAATGCCTTGTCCTTTCTTCTACATATGGCCTGTTCTGTGATGTTTCTTCAAAGCTACTGTACGTTTGGTGGCTTTTATTATTCCTGCTTCTTTTTTGTCTATTACGCATCCTCTCCAATCTCCTGAAGAAGTGGATTTGGTTCTGAGAAACGCATTGAGATTAAGAGGTTTACTTATTTGATGAATGTTATGTTACATTTTAAATTCACCACTTGGATTTTTGTCCTTTTATAATTCAAGTTAAAATCTGGCAATTAGAAAAGCCTGGCTCAACATGTTCCTTTAAAAACAGAACCTCTATTACACTTGGGAGTTCAAAACATTTCTCCCAATACTAGGCTGGTTCTAATATATCTTTTGCTTGCAGCTAAACTCCTGATTACTAGATTATGGAACTCTAATCAAAACCATTCCGTCTTAGATTGTATATCCACACTTAACCACCAATGTGAAATGGAGCAATTGTTGTCTATTACTAATTTCACGATGTTTAAATTTCGAAAGTCATGGTCAGTATGGCTACAAAACCCAAAATGTACTGTTGTCCCTATCTGATATTTGCTCTTATATGTCTAGAGATTAATGACTATGTTGCTAGTCCTACGGTTGGTTAGCTGCTACTTTTTCCTACCTCCCCCTTCTGAGCTGTATCCCACTTTTTCCCCTTCCTCCCTGCCCCCCCTCATCCCTCCTCTTATCCTTACCCCCCCTCTTACCTTTCATCATCCTACCTACTCACTTCCCCCTTGTCATATTTGTAAAAAAGGTTTGCTCTTGTACTTCTAATATGATACCATATCAGAACCCATGGTTTTCTGTCTTGATATGATTATAGCATGGTTTTATATATGCTTATTTGTACTGATGAAACACTAATTCTACTTTTTACTATTTGTATTTGTAAGAGCAAATCATACCTTAATAAAGAAATATTTGAAAAAAAAAAAACAGAACCTCTAAACCGCAGGTTAACACAAATTGTTTTACTGGAGCCGTGCTAGGAAAAATGTTAAAAGCTCGCGATTGTGAAAATATATCCCAAGAAATGTATTATCAAAAATGTATTTATAGTACAAAAAAGTAATATAATTACATATCAAAATCTGTGATTCAACGTTGTTCTTTATCACTTGCTCACTGCTTACTATTTAACCAACAGTCTACAGTACATTTATGTTTAATATATTACTGAAATCTAAGAAAATCAGTCAGATTGAACCTCGGTAGAACCATTTTCCTTTATTTATGCCCTGAAATTTCATTAAGCTAATATAAACATTAAAACTATAATAGCAAAAAGCAACACACATAAGTGTACAGCTGACTTACCACCAGTTGCTGATGGGCTCAAAAAGCAATACAATCTGGGATTGATGACGTTGTTGGGTCTCATAAAAAAATAAAATTGGCCTTTTTAATAAGAAAAAAAATGTGAATGAAATAAGGTTTAAAGCACAGAAAGTATGCAGAATTATATACTTTTCAGAACATGACCTATAAATCAATCCTCACATTGTATGTATTCAGCTCCAATACGCATTTCCTCATCTGTACCTGAACAGATTCCTATTCTCCAAAGACTGCAGCTGGCTTAGATATTAGCATATTGACCTAACACCACCTTTTGCATATCAAATGTAGCAAATAACTGGTAACTAGTGCAGAGCAGACGTGAACATTTAGCTTCTGTGTCCTGTTTCAAATGCCAAATTTGTGCATCTGTAAAAATTTGCAAAAGGCTTACAACTTTGAAACCAGAAAATCTTAAGCACAAAAGAAGTGTTTCATGCAGTGTTCATGATATGAGAGCCTTTCAGTTTACTGTGTTAAGACGTTAATGGAAAGAACAGGCTTTGCAAAGCTGTTAGTGGATAGTGGATGTCAAAGAGTGCAACTCGCAGTAGAATTGGTTATTAAGTATGTTTCAGGATTTCACTTTTAATCTTCCATGTGGTTTACCGAACCTGCAGTTGAGGGTTACCAGGGCAGTATCTGATAATAATCATTTACCCAAATAATATTGGAAATTCTGCATACCTTATATTAGCAAATTAGGTATTTAAATACAAAAAGATGGCTATTTAAAAAGATTGACTTCAAAAACAGGCCTTTTTTCTTCATTGCCTTAAAAAAACAGCCTTTTTGTTAAAGCTTCATTCTAATTTCAGTTAAAGCTCAATTGAGACAAACAAATGAAACCAGCACTCAAATCTTCATGCAGACTAGGAAATATAGAATGCCAAATGGAGAGGTGCTGCCCTTCAAAGATCGGGAAATCTGAATACTGGTGAACAAAAACAGAAAAGGGCGCACTCTCGTCGTTCATTACCGTGGAGACCCACGTATTTATTGAATAAACAAATGAATATATACTCACAAACCAATGAAAATAAAGGCAGAAGGAGTGGTCCGCAATAACAGAGCTCTGAGGAAGGGGGTTAATCTCCTGAAACGCGTCAGCTCACCCATATAGCTCATCTATACTTAGGGCACAGCATTGCATCCGCTGTTATTGCGGACCACTCTTCTGCCTTTATTTTCATTGGTTTGTGAGTATATATTCATTTGTTTATACAATAAATACGTGGGTCTCCATGCTAAAGCTCAATTGAAATCATAGACATTGATATGCATTCAAACAGACACAGTATTGCACTAACAACTTTCATTTTAAGTGTTCTTGCATGGCAAGACCACTTACTGTTATCTCACATATATATTCTTATTATTATAGCCAAATTTACCACCCTAACTCCTCCCACAGTTTTTTCACTACATAGTAAAATACCGAAACGTGCGGATTGTTCCCGATTGGTGTGCTATTACTTTGTGGAACATTTCACCAAATGGTTCACGAAATATCGGTGTTTTTGTGGTCAAATTGGTCCCATAGGAATGAATGGCGGAATGTCCAAAACTAGAGTGGGAGCTGACAAGAGCTAGAGTATGACTGAAAAATCAGGATATGGTTTCTAAACTGCCATCACTCCCTCATTTTCAAGCCCACCTACACAAATCTTATATCAAAACGTTCAGCTATCCCTGCTGCCACTAAAAATGTCCATGGCTAAGCCATAGTCCTGATAGTTTTCACAATATGATCATTTGTTTACAACGAACGCCACCCACTGACCTTTTCACAGTTACTCCAGCCCCTCCAACCACACAACAATTACTCAAGCCACTCCACCCAGTTACTCCGCCCACTCCAGTTGTAGAATACTGGTGGAGGCAAGAACACTTCACACAATTTCCCCAGAAATTGTAGCTTTTCTAGTTTTTTAATCTTATCTCTACTTTACTGTTACAGACGTTGTACAGCATGTGTAAAAATGATACTGAAGTCCAAAAGGCATCAGAGTTAGACCGAGTGATCTAGGTGATCAGCACTCAGTAACAGACCTGATCTGGTACCCCCCTCTCATTCTCTGCAATCCAAATCAGTGTGAATACATTTATAATGAAGCTCTGGCTGTTACCCAACTATACTACAAATGATCCTTTGACTGGTTGAGGGAATTTTTAGGTGCTAAAAATACATGCCACACAAATTTTTCTAAAATACATTGTAATCTTTATTAATTGCATAAACACAAAAAGTTTAAAATTGATGATCTAAGGGCTCATGTACACGGGGTGTTTGGAAAACTCTTCTGAACGATGGAAATGACTGCTGGAAAACGTAGGTTAAAAAACGTCAGTTTAGCCCTGTTTTCATACCACGTTTATGCGCGTTTGCGTTTAGAAGCGTTTTTAAAAGATAACCTCAGGAGACCTTCCCAAATGCCCAGAATGCACTGAAAAATAGTAAATAATTAACTATTTAAGACATTTTGAGGGAAATAGAGAGAGAAGAAGCAGAGAGATTAGTATGTGTTGAGATTACCTATTTTTTCTGGTTGTATTCACTATGGATCCCATCATGAACATAATGCAGCACATTCTATAATTTTTCCTTCACGCAAAACCTAGAACTGACTGTGCTGGTGTACAACGTCCATTTTAATACATGGAAAATGCTTTGCATGCATTTCTGATGATGAAAAAAGGCTGTCACAGCCTGGTGCCCACAGTAGAGATGCTAGTGCCGTGCAGGAGAGAAGGGGAAGAAGGGATGGCACAGGTGAGAACATCGCTTGACTCCGGGACAGGTAAGTGTGTGTTTATTAAAAGTCACCAGTTACAGTTTTTGTAGCTGCTGACTTTTAATAAACACAAAAATGTCTGAAACTCCGCTTTAAACTTTTTGTGTTTATGCAATTTAATACATATTACAATAAATTTTGTGTAGCAATTTGAGTGGCATGTTTTTTGGCACCTAAAAAATCCTTCATCCAGTCAATATATATTTTGTAGTATGCAGTTTATATAGGGATGTGATGCCCAATGAACACAACCCGCACCAATATATGCTTACTCAACTATTCCAGCACAGAGCACTTGTGTGACAAAGTAGAAAGTACTTCCCTTAAAAAGGTAATTAACCTCGCTGCCCTATAGTAGAACTACTGCTACAGGGAGGCAGGGCTGTGCAAAATCACGTATATATACAGGATCTGCATTTCTGGGTAGGGGCATGCGTGTGTGCCGCCCTGCCCTTGCCTCCATTAGTGGCTACAGATGTCAATCACCGGGTCCTGGATGGAGATTCCCCACCAGCCCCCGGCGATTGCCAAGTAACACTGACAGGGGAGAGACCTGTGTGTAGAGAACACAGGTCTCTCTCCTGCCTGCAAGCACAGGAGAGAAATACACAGCAGCATGTTTCCCTAGTAAAACACACACAGCACATTATGTAAAACAGCACACAGTTAACACTTTGATCGCCACAGATGTTAACCCCTTCCTGCTCAGTGTCATTAGTACAGTGTCAGTGCTTTTTATTAGCACTGATCACTGTATTAGTGTCATTGGGGATGTCAGTGGCCGTTAGTTAGTTCCCAGACAATGTCAGAATGCCCACCACAGTGCCACAGTTCACTATAAGTCCTTGATCGCCACCATTACTAATATAAAAAAATAAAAATAAAAATTCCAGTATATATACCGCCATTTGTAGACGCTATAACTTTCACGTAAACCAATTAATTTTCATGTATTGGGATTTTTTTAGCAAAGATATGTAGCAGAATACATTTTTGGCCAAAATTTATGCAGAAATTTGATTTTAAAAATGTTATTACTGGATGTTTTATAGCAAAAAGTCAAAAATATGTTTTTTTTTCCAGAATTGTTGGTATTATTTTGTTTATAGCACAAAAAATAAAAAATGCAGAGGCGATTAAATACCACCAAAAGAAAACTATTTGCGGGAAAAAAGGACCTAAATTTCATTTATGTACAACTTTGCATGCGCACTTGTCAGTTAAAGTAACACAGTGCCGTATCGCAAAAAATGGACTGTCAGGATGGGGGGGGAGCAAGTCTTCTGGAGGGCAAGTGGTTAAAGAAATTGCCAACCAAAATCAATGTTCAGGTTACAAAGTCAAAAGTGTGATAATTTAGTTGGGTTCTAATATTAATTTAATCTTTGGGTTTTTCACGCAGTTATTAAAAAAAAAGCAGGCAGCCTGCTCCTTAACAACCAGCTATTAATGAATCAATTAGGATCATTCATTACCTTGGATGCTTCAACTATCCAGAGGAAACAAATTACTTTTGTTGTTTTGTTATAATTTATTTCAGATTCATTGAAATTCGTTACTGTTTGGACATCCGAAATCTCTGCATAATGAAAATTTTGTTCAAATTTAGATTTGTAATGAAATAAATCACATATCTAATCATGACCCTTACATTAATGTTAATAGGAGGAATATTTCCCCCCTACATTGGTTCCAGTTGGAGGAAGAATGCTTCCTACATTGTCTTGTCTTGGTAGGAGAGAGAATGCCCCTTACATTAGGAGTCATTGAAAGGAAGAAAGCCACTACATTTCAGATCATTTGGAGCAAGAGGTTCTCTTTCATTGGTGGTCAATGGAAAGAAGAATGTCCGCAACATTGTTGGTCAGTGGGAGGAAAAATACCCCTAAAATTGTTAGTCAATGGGAGACACTATTATTGTGGGTTAGTGGGATAATGACTACCCTTAATATTATTTGTCAGTAGAAGAATGATTGGGACAATTATTTGTGGTCAGTGGGAAGAAGACTGTGCCTTACTTTGGAGATGCTACATCCCCCTCAACGTGATGGCTGGAACATCTCTGAAAAATTAACCCTGTAGCTATCATTGCTGACTTGGCTTTGAAAATTGAAAAGGCTATAATCTTGATCCTTGTTTCACTACCTAAGAAGTAATTGACCTAGAAAAGATATGCAGTGCAGTGGTTCAGACTTTTCAGGCTTTATTGTACACATGCTTCTCCCTGGTCAGTTAATCCCTATTTACTAAAGCAAGAATGAAGATGATAGCCCCAGTATGCGCCATTAAAAAAATAGCAATGGCAGCTTCCGTATTTCTTTCCTCTGAGGTGCTCTAGTAAAATTAGAATGATCTATGTCAAAACTGCAATGGTTCAAAGTCACTAGCATTATCTAAGTACAATAATGGCCAAAAATATTGGCACCCCTGCATTTCAGATGTTATATAATGCACCACTTCACCCAGAAAATAGTTGCAATTACAGATGTTTAGGCATTGTCATGTTTGTTTTGTTTGTATTGGTATGACACAAAAAAAAGTCGAGAAACAAAAAGCCAAATTTGACACGTGCCACACAAAACCCCAAAAATGGACTGGACAAAATGGGCCCTACAATGCAGGGGTGCCAATATTTTTGGCCAGGACTGTAAGTGTGTTCTGTAACTCTGCTGTTTTCAACTAAAGGTAATGACAATTTGTTGAGTCTAGGATATGAAAAAATATTTTTTTATGACTTTATATCAGAAAAGCATGTACTACGTAATGAAGAAATGTTAATTGCAGACACACATACATCTTATTTTTGCAATATCTTGAAGAGTATTTTCTATTGCAATTAATTGATGACAAGACTGTATGCAATTAAGCACAGAAATAACATTGGCTGTGCGTCACCATAGACATATCAAAGAGTGTCTGCTTAAATGTTAATTAATTGGAAAAGTAAAACACAAAGTACTAGACAAAGAAATGACTGTTCATTTTAGGAGTGACAGTTTTTGCCAGTCTGAGTCATCCGACATTAAAATAAATCTAAACCGAATCATTAAAATCTTATATAAGCTTTAACATGTTAATGTAATTTTAGAAGTTGTTTGCAATCTAATCACTAAAATAATACATGGTGATCCTGCCGTTTAGACCCTTGTTCAGTCACTTCCTGTTATGAGGTGACAACTGTATCCTATTTGTGCTCCTGCTTCATTATCTTGTCACTTGCACACCATGTGGACACTCAGGGGCGTATTTACCACAAGGCAAACAAGGCACTTGCCTAGGGTGGCATTTTTCAAGTGGGCAGCATCTCCCCCAAGAAGAAGGGGTGGAAGAAGGGACATGCACACTATGGGAACATGTGGGATTCGAGCAAGGCTGCGGGCTGATTGATGATGTATGTAGAGCCTGAAACTCATTCCTGGGGATGTCCGGAGCTGTGAAGATCGGTGTCTCTCTATGGCCGGGGCGGGGGGGGTAGTGGAAGGTTCTCCCAGGTGGGGGCAGGGGTGTTGTTGGTCAATGTCAGGTTCTCTCTGCGGGAGGGGGAAGGGGGGGTGTTGGTCGTGTCCGTGGGGGCAGACAATTTTTATGTAGCCTAGGGCAGCAGAAAACCTAAATACACCACTGTGGACACTACAAACACCCATTGTGACACACATTGGGCAAGCATGGTCCACCACTGTTTGGCGGCCTATCCAGAGCAGTACTATGTACTGAGTATGTGCATTTAGACAGGAAGTGGTTAAAAGAGATTAACGGCACTGAGATGCAACAAAGGATAAAGAAAAGGTTTAAAAAAATGTTTTTTTACATTGTTTATGGTACACAGATGATTTCTACTATATTTTATGTATATAGATTACTGATGTTTTCTGGGTATGCTTTACCATATAAATTACAAAACTCAATAAGCTGTAAAAGAAGATCTGATGCATCACTTTTAACTATCACAATGCTTTTTGTTAGAACATTTTATTGTTATATGTATTTATCTTTTTCAAAGATACATTGATGTATATCGTTCTTGAGCTAAAAACAAGTAAAACAAAGAGTTACTGCAAATACCATGATCCTTACCCTGGTCCTAACCCTTATACTGGCCATACACAGCAATTTTCAGGCAATTGCAGACACTTTAGGCCAGTTATCAATCAAAATTATAATAAGTAAATGGATCACTGCTACCTACAGTATAACTATGTACTGTCTTCTTTAGTTTGTATATCGTTAGTATTAGAGATGAGCGAATTATTCAAAAATTCGATTCGACTGATTCGGCGAATTCGTGAAAAAATTTCGATTCGAGTCGAATATATTCGCTGCGAATTTAACTTATAAAAGGGTGTTTCTAGGCTTCAGAGAGCCTTTATATTAGTGCAGAACACTGTACCTTTAATTTAAATGCCCTTGGAGTCTGCTGGGGAAGAGAAATAATACTGACAGTCAGTATGACATGCAGATGAGTGCCGTCGATCTTAGAATCACCGCACACTTCACTCATTTGGGCAGTCACGGGGCCAAAACCAGAGTGTGGAGCCACAGTGTGGCGGTGGAGGCAGCAGCAATGGGAGGCCATACAGCACCCTATGACAAAAATGGAAACCACCAGCAGTGTGAGGAGACCTGAAAGTGGCACATGGCAGAGTGTGGCGATGGAGACAGCAGCAATGGGAGGCCGTACAGGGACCCATGACACACTCTGGACCTGGCAGCAGCATGAGGAGGCGGTACAGGGGCCCATGACAGATTACGGGCCTGGCAGCAGCATGAGGAGTTGGTATGGGGGCCCATGGCAGATTACGGGCCTGGCAGCAGCAATGGGAGGCCGTACAGGGACCCATGACACACTCTGGACCTGGCAGCAGCATGAGGAGTCGGTACAGGGGCCCATGACAGATTAGGGGCCTGGCAGCAGCATGAGGAGTCAGTACGGGGGCCCATGACACACTCTGGACCTGGCAGCAGCATGAGGAGGCGGTACAGGGGCGCATGACAGATTACGAGCCTGGCAGCAGCAACTTGGACAGGAGGACGTTCAGCTTCTGCACCGTCGGGTGCGTGCTCGCAAACTGTTGTCTCTTGGAAACGGATTCCAAGAAAGACTGCTGACGGAATCCGTAAAGAGGAGTAGCAGGAGAAGGAGCATCTGAACGAGCGGAATATGCCAACAAGCGACAACAGGGGCCCATGACAGATTACGGGCCTGGCAGCAGCATGAGGAGTCGGTACGGGGGCCCATGGCAGATTACGGGCCTGGCAGCAGCAATGGGAGGCCCGTAATCTGCCAGCACCCTATGACAAAAAATGGAACACACCAGCAGTGTGTGAGGAGACCTGAAAGTGGCACATGGCAGAGTGTGGCGATGGAGACAGCAGCAATGGGAGGCCGTACAGGGACCCATGAGAGACTCTGGACCTGGCAGCAGCATGAGGAGGCGGTACAGGGGCCCATGGCAGATTAGGGGCCTGGCAGCAGCTATGGGAGGCCCGTAATCTGCCAGCACCATATGACAATAAATGGAACACACCAGCAGTGTGAGGAGACCTGAAAGTGGCACATGGCAGAGTGTGGCGATGGAGACAGCAGCAATGGGAGGCCGTACAGGGACCCATGAGAGACTGTGGACCTGGCAGCAGCATGAGGAGGCGGTACTTTGGCCCATGGCAGATTAGGGGCCTGGCAGCAGCAATGGGAGGCCCGTAATCTGCCAGCACCCTATGACAAAAAATGGAACACACCAGCAGTGTGTGAGGAGACCTGAAAGTGGCACATGGCAGAGTGTGGCGATGGAGACAGCAGCAATGGGAGGCCGTACAGGGACCCATGAGAGACACTGGATCTGGCAGCAGCATGAGGAGGCGGTATAGGGGCCCATGGCAGATTAGGGGCCTGGCAGCAGCTATGGGAGGCCCGTAATCTGCCAGCACCCTATGACAAAAAAATGGAACACACCAGCAGTGTGAGGAGACCTGAAAGTGGCACATGGCATGAGACACTGTGGACCTGGCAGCAGCATGAGGAGGCGGTACAGGGGCCCATGGCAGATTAGGGGCCTGGCAGCAGCTATGGGAGGCCCGTAAACTGCCAGCACCCTATGACAAAAAATGGAACACACCAGCAGTGTGAGGAGACCTGAAAGTGGCACATAGCATGAGACACTGTAATCTGCCAGCACCCTATGACAAAAAATGGAACACACCAGCAGTGTGAGGAGAAACCTGAAAGTGGGCACATGGCATGAGATCCTGTGACCTGGCAGCAGCATGAGGAGCGCGGTTTACAGGGGCCCATGGCTGATTAGAGGCTTGGCCAGAAGTATGGGAGGCACCGTAATCTGGCCAGAAGCCACTCTATGGCAAACAATGTGCAGCAGCAGCAGTGTGAGGAGGCCTGTAACAGGGGGCCCATTGAGCATGAGATTACAATGTTGGACCTGGCCGCAGCATGAGGAGACGGTACAGGGGCCCATGGACAGATTAGGGGCCTGGCATCAGCAATGGGAGGCCCGTAAATCTTCCAGCACCACTGATGACCCAAATGGGAACCACCCACCAGCAGTGTGAGGAGACCTGAAAGTGGCACATGTGCAGATGTGTGGGCAATGGAGACAGCAGCAATTGGACGGCGCCGGGGTACAGGGACCCATGAGACACTCTGGAGGACCTGTGCAGAGCAGCATGAGAAGCGGTTACGGGGCGCCCATGGCAGTAATTACGGACGGGCCTGGCACGCAGCAATGCGGGAGGCCCGTAAACTGCCAGCACCCTATGACAAAAAAAATGGAATCCACACCATCAGTGTGGGAGGAGAACCTGAAAGTGGCACATAGGCAGAGTATGTGGCGATGGGAGACAGCAGCAAAACAATGGGAGGCTCGTACAGGGGTCCCTTGAGTGACTCTGGACCTGGGCTAGCCAGCATGATGGAGGCGGTATAGGCGGTACATGGAGATTAGGGGCCATGCGTGCAGAGCTATGGGAGGCCCGTAAAACTGTTAAGCAGCCTATGACAAAAATGGAACAACACCAGCATGTGTGAGGAGACCTAGTTAAGAAATAATAACATGTTTGGGGCAGTGATTCATGGCGGATTTTAGTCCGTTTGTGTCAAGGAAACTGGTGGTTTTTGAATTCCAGCAGACTAATCCACGGCCCTGAATCATTTTCACCTACGTGGAGTCATCACCACACTTTGGGTGGACAGTCGTCGTTCCGCCAGCGGAGTTTAAGCAATACCTCCTGCCTAGCACTAAACACGTGCTCGCGATGCCAACGCTACTCGCGGGGGCTGGACAAGCCTTTTCAAGGGCAAATATTCCACTAGTTAAGGGGCCAAAGGTCAAGTTTCGATGCCCAGGTAGTCAAAGTGGATTGTCTCCCTCGGTTGGCAGGGTCTGCAGTCCAAGTAGGGGGCCCAAGCCTGTTTGTTATGAGTTCCTGCTCCAAGGTCCCACCTGATGCTGCTGCTGCTTGCTGGCGCTGGTTTAGTAGTGTATCCCTCACTGCGCTGGAGGAAGAAAAGCTACTCATCATCAACAGGGCAAGACTGAGGCAGCGCGGCGAGCTGGTAGGAGCTTGCCACTGCTCCTCACCACCCCACCCCTCCCCTGCTGCGCATGGCACGCGCGGAACGCGTGAGCGCCCAGGGCTCCACAGTGTCCTGAGGATGGACGTTGGCGCAGGAAAGGCAGAGACCGAACTGCCTACATAGGTGGTTTTTATAGTACGTTATTTTGGCCTCCCTCTCAGCAGGTGTGAAAAAGGCCACCATTTTTGAACGGTAGCGAGGGCTCCAACAAGGTGGACAGCCAAAAGTCATCCCTCTGTCTCAGATGGTTATTATTATTCGGCTGTCTCGCTAACGCAAACGCAACTGACGAGGCTGCATGCCAACCCCCACACAACCAAACCACCACACCCCCCCCACCCACCACCCACTCATGGGCCATTTGTGCCCAAGGAATGCGAGGGACTCCCTGCCTCCCTCTCCACAGCATACTGCCACGGTGCGTTCTGGGTCCTCTGTCTCATCTCCTCCTTCTCTCTACCAGATGCTCCTGCTCCTCAACTCATGTCCGATGAGTGGAAAAAAACCACCCATTTCACTCAATCTTCCTGAGCACCAATGTCCTCCTCTTAACCTCCTCCTCTTCTTTCCTTGTCCTGCACCACAGGGGTTCATGTGGCGTTGATGAGATCTGTGCGCCACGGTCTTACCGCACCCTGGCCCAGCCATTGTTAACAGCATTTGTTCCAGGAAGTCAACGTAGGAATGTCGTCGTTCATCCCATATAGTTCTGCCGACTCACGTATAGCGTGGCCTCCTCAAAGGGTGAGCAAGCGGCAGGTGTCACGCATGAGCTGCCAAGGGTGACATCTAAGACACAGGGGGTACCTTTATCGCTTTTTAACTCAGGAAATTGGTGATGGCCTTCGCTGTTTGTAAAAAGGGGGTCTAACTATGTAGGGGGTTTAATTCCCCGTTGCAACGTCA